TTTATCAAAGAGCGTTTTACTTGGCAACGTGGTGTGTATTACAACGATGTTCTATATAAAAATAAACCGGAACTTACAAGCCCTCCTTGTTTATCTGATGTGGAAGCACAAACAATTCCACGAACGCTTTTGTTACAAGTGCACCTGCATTGGCGTGCATTTTCGTGCGATCACCACCGTTAACTTTCGTTGCACACATGCGAGATATGTATCCAAGTATGAATTGATACATGTGCTAAGTATAAGATTGTTTATAAAGCATATATACTTTTTTGTAATTAGACACAACTAAGGTATTCAGCCTGCATAACTGGTAAAAGGACAACGGTTCCCTGACTTCATATCATGCCCGTCAGGCTCGTCAATTAAGGCATTCAGCTTACATATTAAGTAAAAAGACATCAGTGACTTAAATTCAAATAAGCCCATGAGGGACATTTTGCGGTCGTTAGTGAGACAACATTTATCGCGATTGAATGAGGCTTTTGCGTATACAGGTAAGATCCAATGGTATTTATTGTTTAGCTGTTCAATTCAATGCGTTATGATTACGTTCACATGTTTTTACTTGCATACATTGTTAATTGCTTCTTCGTTTTTTTATATGATTTTTTTAATAATAATGCATTACATGTATGATTTACTTTTCTTTAATTTGTAATTTTTTAAACAATAAAAAGGGTTCACATGTTTTTCACTTCATATACGATGTATTCTTTTGTTAATAGCTATTACATAACCTAATATTTATTAAAACTTATATTCTAGCTTCAAAATATTTACATGTAGCAAGCATTTGAATTATTAAAAAAATTATAAATTAGATAGAAACATTATATGAAGTAAATATTTATTTCATAAGGACTATTCACAGCTAAACTGCTTTGATTCACTGGAAATTTATACAAAACATGATCCATTTGGTTGGTTGCTCCAGCAATTTTATAGTGAGGTTACAATGATCCTTAAAATTAGATGAATACTAATTCAAATTTAGATATAAACTATGCCTAAATTTCAATAAAAATCTAAAAATGAAATACTAAAGAATCTATATGCTATTAAGCCCTGAGAACATCTGAAGGATATCAAAATATTGATATTTTTAGATTTTTATTGAAACACAGTCATGCTCTATATTCAAATTTGAAGAAGTATTTATTAATTTTTCGACAAAGGAGCAAGTGTTTCGGGGATTCTTACTTCAAGATCTTTAAAATTCTTTGCTAATTAGATTAAACATCAGATCTATAATTTTATTGGATTAATTACTATTATGAGTTCAAATAAGTACATTATTACCAAGTACTTTTCAATGTGCATTTGAAGTTTCCAAGAGTACATAATATTCATGTAAGGTGGCTCTAGCGTTAAGTGCCGTATATAGTGGAGACATGAGCCGAAAAATTATCGTAATTATCCTACAGGTGATTAAATTTCTTAAAGTTATCATTAAAATTCTAGGTATATTTTCATTTAAGCAAAAAATAATGGCAACCTAAAAATACACGGAGCACACTGCTTAAATTGAGAAAAGACTGTTACAAATTATCGACATCCCTAATTTTTTTCTATTTAAATTTTCCCAGTGCAACTTGAAAATATCTATACAAAATTTCAGGTTAAAATATGAAACAGAAAAATTCAAGAAGCATTTTCGTACAACAGTCTTGCGCTGCAGCAAGCTTTTTTGTTTCTATTTTCATTGGTAACTTTGAAAATTAATGGTTGACCTTGGGGCCCAGAAGTGGTAATCGATTCTAAGTCTCATAAGTTTCAATTTGATATTTGATTTTTCAGGATTCTATTATTTATCTATAAGTAATTAGTGGATAAAGATAGAAAAATATTGTTGCTTCTCACGTTCGCATATGTTTCTGATAAGGAGAAATTTTGTACTAAAAGTTTGTCATCTGCATTCACTGATTAATTTTAAATAATTAATAAGACCCTTAAACCTTAGATATCAAATTAAAGCTTATGAAACGTAGAATTAATTAGCACTTTGGGGCTCCAAGATCAACTATTGATTTTTAAAGTTATAAACGAAAACGTAAACAAATAAGCACGAGGCAGCGCGAGACCTTCATACGAAAATTCTTCTAGAATTTCTTGTATTTAATATTTCCATCTAAAATTATGTGCGGATATTTTCAAGTGGCAATGGAAGAATCTCAATAGAAAACAATTAGGGATTTTAAAATTTGTAACAGACTTTTCTCAGATCAAGTAGTGTATTTGGTGTACTTTGAGGTTATCATTGTTTACTCATTAAACGAAAATATATCAAAAATTTTAATGATAACTGTAAGAAACTTTATTACCTGTCGAACATTTACAATAATATTGATAGTAAATTATAAACAATGACATGCGCTCTAGCAAGTATAACACAATAATTTGCGGTGCACGACTTATGTCCCCACTAGATATGGCACCTAATGCTGGAGCCACCTTAAATAATTTTGATTAATTCAAATTTCAAAAGGATAGTATTATATAAGTTACTACATTAATCCAACAGTCATAGAAAACTTTTACTCGTGTATCCTAATTACATTATTATTTGAAATTATAGGTGAATTTCCATTATTGTAATTTCCACCATTTTTTCGAAGCCCGTGCACCAAATCCTAAAAATCTTTCCGGTTATTACTCAACTATTTCTAAGTAAAGGTTGTTGGAAGTATTTTCATCATTATCTACCTAATTTCAGATGATGACATTTGAATCATCATTGTCGTCATTTTTATTGTTACTTTGACTAACAGCTGACTCAACCATTGTATCCTTATTATCGCTGTTTTTTTTGTTTCTCGATTTATTCGATGGGTAGCTTGGGTGTAAAAGTAACACTTTTTATTATCTTTCTTTGCTTTGGTCACGATTTGTTGAAGATGATAAGTAAGGTAAATGTCCCTATTCGTGGAACATGTCCCTATTTATGGAATATGAAAATTCATGTATTTGTTATACTACTAACTTGATAAAAACATTATGGTAGTTGTATATTATATGTATTTTTATGAATTCAGAAAAAAAATTTCATTTTACATATAATAAATGACCAATTTTGATAATAATTCCATAAATAGCGACAAAGTCGTACATAACCTATCTTTTGAACTGTACGTATCATGGCATCAAACTTCAACGAGAAATTTGTATACTTCTAGTAAACAAATAACCGATATAATTATTTTCATTAAGTAAAATAGTGTTATGCAAGTGAAAAAGATTTAATTGTCTTAAAATATTATACGAAATTTACGCTTTAAAAAAATTTCATAAATAGTGATATAATATGAAACAATAGGTACAACGTTTCATAATTATGTACATTTTGGTCTTATAATCTTTTTATAAAATTAAGTATTTTAACATGTAAGAATCATATTTAAAAATTAGAATACTAATGGTAAATTTATAGCGCACTAGCTAATACCAAAATTTCTACTGTTAAAGCTTATAGTTAAGAAAAAAAATTAAAGAAGTAAGTGTGATGAAATTTATGGTCTTAATAGGGACATTTACTTTAATTGGATGACAAGTCTTTATAAAAACTTGTTCAACTTCATTTTTTCTAAATTTTCATAAGCTATATTTCTTTTTGATGGACTCTCTTGTATTAAACAGCTAATGAAGACCGTATGTTGATGTTTTGACGTCTTAAAGTTGATTGATTAGTTTGTGTTATGTAAGTCATATTCATAGCAAAACTGCCAAATCCTTTACGTTATCAGCCGTAGTTCAATTGTCTATTCTTGTCAATAACAATGAAATTATATTTATCACTGCGACAGTTGGAGCATAGATCTTATAACAGATTATAAGAAATATCAGAGTTGACATGCTCATCATACACATGTTGAATTGAGCTCATCTTGATATAAACAAGTTAGACGATTAACTTTCTTTCTCACATAGTACTTCGGTACTTGTGTATATGACTGACAGAGATAAAAGCAATAAATATTTTTGTGTTCTCATAAAACATAAATATTTTACAGTATCCTGTTTTTTACGTGCAATATCTTAAAAAAACATAGTACAGTTTTGTAGAGCATCGTGTGGGGACACTACTGCTTTATGCTTACTAACAAGAAAGTATTGCACACCATCTATAGGCTCATAAAGAAAACCATACAATTACCAAAGTATAAGAAAAAGAAATAATTTTGAAATATCTATGTCAGCAGTGTGCGTGGGTGTAAGTAGACGTATACTTATGTCAGAATTGTCAGGATTGGATTTATATGTTTTGATTTGACTAGAAGTTTCTTTTGTTCTTGAATGTTTATCACTATTTAAGAACTAATTTTTTTAAATAATTTTTTTCTTATTACTTGAATTTTTTCAGTTTCATAAATTTTAAACACACAAGTTCATAAATTATAAAAAAATGGTTCAAGTATAATTTACAAAAAAATTGTTTACGGGGTGGGATAAAATCAAAAAGTACTAGTAAAATATTCAAGATTTTTATAAAAAAGAGAAATAATGTCTGAAACAGATCAAGTGTACAAAAAAAGTAACAAAAAACAAGATGAAGAAGCTGAGTTCCAACTAATTAAAAGTATTACACATGTGTATTTTTGATCTAATTTTTAGCGAAAATATCATTTCTTTTTTCAAAAATTAGGAATAATTGTACTTCAAAAAATAAAACGCAAAAAATGTGATTTGAAAATTTATTGTAATATAAGGCATCAGTACATGTATCCAAAATCTTATCAAACATCTTAGGAATTTTACTTCTCAAGGAATTTTGCTAAGACCAAAGTTTATATTACGTATTACTTCCTTGCCACAAAACTGTAATAATGGTATACTACGTCTTATAAGTACAGGGAGTCACGACTAGAATTTTAAATAAGAAATTGTACGTAAAGGGTAAATAACAGCAATCGTATCTCAAACACAAGAAATTTAAAAAAGTATATTACAACCTAATTTAAAGATAAAAGGCAAACAAAATTTAAAAACAAAAGTTACTTTACCTGTTAAAACTTTTCCAGTTTTTTTGTTGTAAACGACTATTCTAATGTCAGATTTTTGCTTTTGACTTATTTGGTGATTATCAATATTCTGTCCTTTTATTTGCGAAGCAGCGTGCGCCACAATACAAGCATCCGAGCAGTATATACCTGATTTTCTGACTTTTTTTTTACAAACCACGCAAAAAGTTACATCTGAGGAAGAGCTTAGATTGGAACCAGTATCGACAGGAGTAATTTTAAGATCACTCTTCTTTGTTGATGGTGACGATATGTAAGTTGATGAGATTTTATTTAACTTCTGAGTATTCCTATCTGTGCTGCTTTTATGCCGCTTAGAAGCAGAATTGAGTTTGAACTCTTCTGTTTTTTTTTTCAAGCAGTTAGGGCAAACCCACTCAATTCCTTGATTTTCCATTTGTTCACCTATTAATAGCACAATTAATTTTTATTACTTGTTATTCTAACACAATTAAAGTATGGTCATATGCAATAATGTCACTATAGTTATTACGTATAAATTTAAAAAGTTTTTGAGTTTTTCAATAATTCCTACTATTAGTTTGATACTGTGATAGTTTTATCATGTTTTCATCTGTATGTACCCGACAGCTGTTTTGGTAGTTACGTAATTATGAAAGCCTCGACATGCACTGAACAGAAATAGTTTCAGAAAAGCTGCATAATATTAGTGAGCAAGTTTGTCAAAAGTTTAGTTGTTTCAGTTATTTTCATTCAACACGTTTTTTCACTGTTTTTCATTTCATAGCTTCTTTTTTTATATTTTGAGGTTTGATCAGATTTAAAAATTCAAGAATTATTATTACTAAACAATATTTGCATGTTACTAATATCATCATTATTTATATTGAACATAACTGTGTTTTCTCTGTCTTCTTTACCTAAAATACATTATCAGTTACATAGAGTCGGAGTTTTATGTCGGACAACGGTCATAGTCAGAGTCGTCATCTGCCAGCCACACTGCGTATTATCATACAGATCTGGACACTCGCACTTACACACATACACCAGTCAGAATTGGCCTCTTGCGCGGTTTGTGAGCCAACTACCCACTAATTCAACTTAAAGTAAGGCTAGTGTGATTTAATACATCAAAAAGTAATGTATGCAACATTTGAACTTTTCGTAATACAATATACTTTATAAATCTATACTATTAGGTCCAATTTTTTTTCGTTATTAACAATCAATGTAAAAAATGCATTTTGGTAACATTATTGGTAAATACAATTACACAATACAAAGCAAAATTTTCATTAATTATTGACATAAATAAATTATATACATCTATCTTTTGTAGTTAAAAAAACTAGCTGAATAAAGTTTTCTTTCTTTGCTATATTTTTTTATTCAAAATACTTTTTCCAATTCTGAACACATAAAGTTGGTGTTTGAATTCAACTACATGTATAAAAAAGAACATAAATCTGTTCATGTGGAAATAAATTATTTTTTTTAAAGAAAAAAGTAAAGACGTTAGCTTTTCTTTGAATGAAGTCCCACGTGGGATTTTATACTTTATTAATAGTTTTTTACCAATTTCTATCTGTAAATTATTTTTTTCAGACCACCACTGATTATACATTTATATTTTCTGTTTTGAATAATAATCTTCAAGATTTGACATTATTTAAACAGAGATTATTCCTGAAATTAAATACTTCAAGTAATGTGCGATTTGTCTAAAACTTTTTTTGATTCTGATATTATTCTACTTCCGTTATATTCATTAAAGATACGAAGAATTTTTCAAAAATTACTATCTGAAACAACCAACTCATCGTTTTCAATATGTTCAATTTGATTAAAAATAAATCTAATTAAGTATAGTCAACTATTTCTGAGATTTTTCATTTTTAAATTATTAAAATTATATTGTAAGCAATTGAATCAACTTCTGGCAATTTATCTTTTAAAATTTTAGTTCCAAGGATGTACTTTCAATATTGTTTTACTCAGGGAGTACTAGAGAGGAGACTCAACTCTGTATACCAGGAGTGGATACAGTTTGCGGGGCAAAAATCGACAAGTACGCTGGTCAGAATAGCCTGAAATTAACGAGTTTCAGAGCCCCCAACGCCCACTAACTAAACTAGAATGTAGAACGGAGATTGTCGATAAAAGTTGTATAGCGGACGGTAAAGATAGAATTATATCATAAAAAGTTACATACAACCCAAGCTTAGCTAATGAACATATGGTACTTTTAACTATCCACTTCTTATGTCCAGCATAGCTCCGGGGTAACGCTTTTGCCTTGTGATCAAATATCAGGTTCCCCAAGGTTTTTTTTTCCTTTTTCTTTATTTATAGCATGCTTGCTATTAACAATATAAGAAATAAGTTTTAAAACAAGTTTTTAAATCTCGCGCAAGACGGTAGGTCATGTATTGTATTGCACCTGTTGAAAACAAGTGACAATTCAATCAAGTCTGTACCAGCACGGGCCAAGCGCCGCCGTGTTTTATTCAGCAATGTAAATAGGATGTAAGTACGACTGAATATCAGTGCAATATTTTCGCAATACTAAACGGAAAAGAAATCCACGAAACGATGAGCAAAAAATTAGTCTTTTCCAAGCGACGAATGTAATACTAAATGTGCGCGATATAACTTCGTTACTCAAATTAATCACATGTGACTTCGTGTTGTAGGATGAAACTTTTATAACCTGGAAAAAAGTTATTCCAGTGGGGGAATTGTTGACGAAAAAAAGTTTTATTAGTGAATTACACTTTGAAAAAGAAGATTTAGAAAAATATTTCTCTCATAAAATGCCTGACGGCTCCGACTACGTGATCCCAATAGTGAAGCCCAAGTTAATAAAAGGGTCCGTTTCTTTAATATTTTATGTGTTATTATTATCCTTATTACTACCCAAGGCACCAAAATGCTCTGGCTACGTAACAATCATAAGTACGCAATCCATACCTGGCCCAAAAATCGTTAAATGCGAGCAGTGTGTTTGGGAAAAGCTGAAGATAAGTAAAAGAGACGACCCAGACGAAAAAGTGAAAAAATTAAAAAAGTGATATCATGCAGTAGGGTTACAGTTGTATGACAAAGCAAGAAGATGCACTCGTCTCTAGAATAAGGTACTGCACTAAGCGCAACAAAGAGAAAAAACTTTTTTTCGAGAAAAATCTACGTACTAAAATAAATAAATAAATGAATACGTGGTAATATAAATATATATATT